AAAAAAAAAAAAAAAAAACACATTTTAGTAAAACCAATACCTTCTCAGCTTCGCATCGAAGCTAAAAGGAAGATAGTACTAAACATGACAATAAACGGAAACAATTATAATACATCTAATATACTAAATACAGACAAATGTTATAAAATTATTTATTTAGGAAGTATCATAACATTCAAAAGTAATATAATATTTGACTTTTATTACAGGAAAAATAAGTAATAATAAAAAAATAATAAAATTATTTAATAATATTTGATTCAATTATATAATTATTATTAATAAAATTAGTGCACGGATCTTAATGGGATGAATAAGCTTGAATTTTACTGCATATCTTACCAATATCTGGAGTAAGATTTGTGTAATGAAAGTCTTAGTGTTGACGTCAAATTCAATCTATTTCGAAACTTAGCCTTGGTTGCAGTGACTGCTGAAAATCCACTTTAACATAAGTACGTTGAAAGAAAAGGATGCCTTTTCACTTATTACCTCGTATTTGTTATGAACTTTTATCCAAAATTTATCTAGTGATAAATTGTTTTTTAAATTTCTCAACGTTATGTTTGAGAAAAAATCTGACAACATATCCTTTTCATTCGTAGATAGACCATTTCTTATGCCATTGCAACTGAGTGGATCCAAAACCCACAAATACCATCTTTTGGGTCTTGATTTAAAGGGAAATACTCTTCAAATTTAAGTGATAACATTTTTATATGAGTAACAATAATCAGTTTAAGTTGAGTAGAATTGTAATCTTCATTATTCTTGTTTGCTCCGCTTATAAACTTCATTAAGATACTAAACATTTCGAAACAGTAGTTTTCAATTCTTGTGATCCACAGTTTAATTTTTTTTTTTTTGCCCTTCTATTTTACCATAACTGTGAAACATGGTTTTCCGTGTTCCTTGAAGTGACAGGTTTATCTCATTCAAAAGTTGAAATATGTGTGCAAAATAACATAATTTCATGGTCCATTCTATGTCTTTGAAGTACTAAACAAGATCGCAGTTATATTAGCCGCGCCATCAGTACAAATTAAGATAAAGTCTGACATTTTTAAATCTCTACTTAAAAAATGATTGGAAAATACAGAAAAAATTTCAGTGCCAGTTGCATATTTCTTTAGTTCCAAGCAGTTAAAAAATTCTTCTTTAATTTCATCTTCATTCCAGTCCACATACCGAATATAGATAAGTAGCAATGCTTTATCAGTAATGTCAGTCGACTCATCTAATTGAAGAGCATAGATTTTTGACCTTTTTATTTTTGTTAAAAGTTGTTGATGAATATCGTTGCTCATCATAGTTATACGATTCGAAACGGTATCATTAGAAGAAGTATTGTTTTTATTTTTCTAATAGCATTATCTCTCAAAAGTGTAAGGCTGACTTCCACCATTCAAGACATAATTAAGTTTTCTCCTATCGTGAAATTAAGTGCGGGTGGTTAAAGTGGAGAGAAGTGTCTGGTGTCTTATGCGATAAAAGGATTCCAAAGAAGCTGAAAGGTAAATTATACAAGACTGTAATGAGACTAGCTATGATGTATGGTTTAGAGTGTTGAGCGGTTGATAAGAAAGTAGAGCAGTATATGAGTGTAGCAGAGATGAGAATACTTAGATGGATGAGTGGAGTGGCTAGAGAAGATAGGATAAGGAACGAGCATATAAGAGGAATTATCGGTTGGGTTGGGTTGAGGACAGCTGATGTGATCGTAGATAATGTGTCAAGAGGAAGTTTAAGATAAGGGTGGCCGACTCCAAGTAGTTGGGATTAAGGCGAGGAAGAAAAAGAAGAACTTAATTAGTAATTTATATATAAGTACTAATAAACGATTTTAATTTTTTTTTTTTAATTATAATATCTTAGGATAATACACTTGGAATCTACAAAATTTGCTTAACATTCAATAATAAGTATTTAGTTAGTCAAAAGTTTAAAATACGTTAAATAAGCTGATGTTAACAGAATTTTCATTGCTGATATACTTTTTATGATACATTGATTTAAAATTAAAAAACATCTCCATTATAAGCTTTTAGAATAATCAAAAAGTAGCCTGAAATGTGCCCGACGCGCAGACTGGTGGTGAATTTAGTATGCAATGTTTTACAACAGGACGGTTTTTGATTAAAATTTTGGTCCTCTTAATATATACTTTATGGGTATAGATATAGTATCTCATATAATGTGGTTACACTGCTTTAATAAAATTTATTATCATGCTTATCAGAGGAAGTAATCACATTAGTTCAAAATTCTGTTTACTCGATCAATTGTAATCCTACATAAGAATTATTATTATTTATAATTCATAGAAGATTAATTTATATAAGAGTTCACTTTAAAATATTTTCAAATAAACAATGGCTGCTGATAACTATCGATTTGCTGAAAGTAAATAATTGTTTAACTTTTTAATATGTAATCCAGATTTTTTTAAATTTGTAATTGGTTCATGAATTATGTTTCTCTAAGAAATGTTATTTTTAATCACTTTTAATATGTCTAAGATAATTTATATAAATTATTTTTAGGCGATAGCTTATTATGTTATCATGGGCCTATGTTATATGAAGCAAAGTGCTTGAAACGACGTAAAACTGCTGATGGAAAAGCACAATATTTTATTCATTACAAAGGTTGGAATAGTAAATGGGAAGAATGGGTTGATGATGACCGAGTATTGGCTGTAAATACAGTCAATATGAATAAGATGGCTTCTTTGAAAGCATTACAGTAAATATTTTAATTATAACTGTACTTAATAAAATTTTCATAATTTAATATATTGTTTTTACTTTTTAACATTTATAGTTCAAATTCTAAAAAAAGTGGAGGAAAACGTTCAGTTTCCTCAATTATTGTCAAAGAAGAAACTGTCCGTAATACTACACCACCTGTAACTAAAGGAAAAAAACGTAAACATTCTGAACTTTCTGAATCAAACCAAATTATGAATATATCATCCCCAGCATCACCGGCATCCCCTGTACCAAAAAAACGAGGTTTAAATTTTTAATTATATTTCTCTTAGTAAAATTTATATGTCAATTAATATTATTTAATATTAATTTTATTATTTATTTTATTTATATGTTGGCAGAAATTTTTTAAGTTATATTTTAAAATGATTTTATATTATTATTCCTATAAGTAATTAAACAACTTTTTTAAACTTAACTATATTTTTAAATTAATTATATTAGTTAGCCAATTGCTAATAATCCAAAACCTTTGTAAAAATATACAATTATATAAAAATATAACTTTTTTCATCAAAAATCTCTGTTAACATTTTTTAAATTATCAAAACAAATATTAATAATATCAAACAAATTTCTAATGACTTAAGTTTATCTAATTTTAAATTTATTTAATAGGGCGTCCTCCTAAAGTAAATTCTTCTAGTTCAAAAATTGAAGGTTCAAAAGAAAACATTAAAAAAATTACATTTGTTGTGCCAGCACCAGTGGTAATAATATTTTTATTAACTTCCTATTTAGTGTTAATTTTATTCTATCTATTGTAATTGTGTGATGTATACAAACTAATCTAATAAAATTGTGATTTAGTTTCTTAGTTGTTGTTAATGATTCAAATATTAATTAAGTCAAAAGATTTTTATTTGTAATATAATTGTTGGTTTAAATACAAAAGTCAAAAATCAACAAAATATAATTAGTTGAAAAAAAAATTTTATCATATCACATTTGAAAAAAATCACTCTTGTCGTTTAAGCCAAAATGACATTAGTTTCTATCATACATTATTATGTATTTTATTTACTGATTTATGTGTATTTTAATATTTTATAGCGTAAGCACCATCATGAAAATTAATTAATAATGTAGTATTAGTGAGAAGAAAATTCCATTTAAAAATATAAATAAAGCTGATATATTAATTTTTATTTTACTTTTATTTACATATTATCATATTAAAATTTTATCGCTAGTCTTTATAAAATTATAGAATGAAAGTATAGCTTTTTATTTAAAATTATTATTAAATTAAATATCTAGTACAAGCTTCTAAATACAGGTAGATAAAAAAAGGAAGTTATATATGTGTTAATCCTGAACATATTTTAATAGTTACAAAAATGGTTATGCAGCAAAAAATATATAATTACAATGTCATTTTGTTTTAATAAAATTTTGTTTCAGTCTCTAGCTACTACAATTCCAAAATTAGATATACCTCTTAAAATAAAACAAAGAATTGCATATGATTGGAATATGATAAATACATTTAATAGAGTAAATTTTTATAAACTATAAAGTATTATTAAAATAAATTAACATTTTTCATGTTATTTAAGTTTTTGAAAATACCATCCAAATATTCTGCTGAGCATGTTATAGAAGACTACATCAATTCAAAATCTACTACAAAACCTATGTACAAGTAAATACTTTTATTGATAGAAGTATAACATATTTCACATTATATCATCTAATTTTCTAATTTAGAGAACGTGCACTCAATATTGGTTTATCATTAATGCAATATTTCAATGTTTTAGTCAATACTCAATTATTATACCCAATAGAACGCGAGATTGATGTTCAAGTAAAAGTAAATAACCAAAATTATTTTTTAATTTAAGTTACTTTATATTAATAATTCATTGTGGTGCTTTATATTTTAGGCTTTATCTTTGCTATCAGAGAAAGAGAGTCATACAGGTTATAAATTTAAGTACCAGAAAAATATGTATCCTAAGGAATTTTGGTGCTCAGTATATGGACCAGTGTACCTTTTAAGAATGTGTGGTATGTTATTTATTATTTAAGTTAAAGTTAGAATTAAACATTTTTGCTCTATGCATAATGTAATTCTTGTATATCACAAGGAAATATTTATTCAGATGTGAATAGAAAATTATATATTGTTGTATAAAATGTACAAATAAGTTGGTATACTTCAATGGTTAATAATACAGGAAAATATATAAAAGGAAAATACAAAATATATATGTTACCTGGATAATGTAGTTTATTTAACTGATAGTCTGAATTTGAGATTCAACATTTTATCCTTTTTGAAAACTATTTGTTTTGTATGAGGCAGCTAGACCGTAGGACGGCTAGTTGTGCACCACACTAGAATGCTGTTTTACTTTAAGTCTATTTAAATCGTTATTATTAAAGCAGGAAAGGAGTCACCTGGGAGAATGGCGGCTAACCACACACCCATTAAGTAACGAGAGTAAACAATAATTAAATAACAAATAACCACATACATCAGAAGTTCTTCAAAGAGTATGTTAAATTAAAGGAGTAACGGGGGCAACGAATCCTGTACCAAACTGTTGTGTATCATCTAAACCTTACATAGTTGTCAACTTTAATTTGTCCAGTTCCAGTTCATCATATCTCTTATAGTCCCGTTACGCCTACATTGTATTTGCTTAGGGAATCTGTTAAATTTTGACATACTTCCGTTTTATACTAGCTTAAATCTCCTTGTGTTTCTGTTTTCATTATGGTTTAATATTCCAGGTGATTCAGTATTTATCTGATGCAGTTTTGCTAGTTTCTTTACAATATTTTTTTTTACAATGCAGGATTGTTAACCATGCGATCAATCCTCTATACCTTAGAGGAAGAGGAGCTCGGGGCCCCGGGTTGCTAAGTCCGTAAACACTAGGTGTTTCCCTAGGGCTATATACAGGATGATTTTTTTATCATAACGCACTCAATTACTTGCAGAATAATAATAATTTAAACATTTTTTTTTTTTATTATCTTTAGTTACACATTATTCTTGAATTTTTAACTATGTTATACTTTTTAAGTTCATCCCTTATGCCTTGGAAGGGGGTCAACTTTGTTTTTTTAAATGGTAACACATATTTTTAATTTAATAAAATGTTTGAGTTTTTAATTTAATAGTAAATGGCATTTGAATTTTTAATATAACTTTATTAGCTTATTAGATATAAACATTTAAAGTTTCAAAATTTTGAGTTAATATACATGTATAATACACATGGGATTGTAAATACAGGTAGCTAATTGGATTTTTATGACATTGCTGTCTCAGTCACGGATTGTTTATTATCAATTATGATTATCAATAGATATACTTTCTGTATTGTCAGTTAGTGTATTTATAAACTCATAACAATGTGCCTTACTACAATTGATAATAACAATGCTGTGTACCTGCTAATATCGATGTTATAAAAAACCAATTAGCTACCTATATTTGTAATCCCTTGTGTATTATACCTGTATATTAATTCAAAAATTTGAAACTTTAAATGATTATATCTAATAAACGAATTAAGTTATATTAAAAATTCAAATGCCATTTACTATTAAATTAAAAACTCAAACATTTTATTAAATTAAAAATATGTGTTACCATTTAAAAAAACAAAGTTGACCCCCTTCCAAGGCATAAGGGATGAACTTAAAAAGTATAACATAGTTAAAAATTCAAGAATAATGTGTAACTAAAGATAATAAAAAAAAAAAATGTTTAAATTATTATTATTCTGCAAGTAATTGAGTGGGTTATGATAAAAAAATCACTCTGTATAAATGAGGAAATCAACAAGCAAAAATAGTAATACAAAACACAGTTTTTGCTCTTTTTGAATATTATAATAAAGAAATAATATTACTAGACATATACAATATTACTAAAATACATCAAAGTTACATTATATTTACAAAAGCATATAAATTATATATAATACAAAAATATATCTTAGTCAACTCATGGCTCATTCAGTAATCATTCTTGATACTGGATGATCTTGCTCCCCACCTCCAGATCCTAAAAGTGATACTATCTAGATATGAACAATACCCATAAATATATACAGATTGTTTCTTTTTTTGAAGTTTAATAGTTTAAATTAACAATATTAAATAAAATAATATTTGAATTTAGTATTATATAATATTTTCTAGTTAAATTGCCAAGTTTATTGTCATCAATGTGGTACAGTGAAAAACAATTGGCATTTATAGTAGATAATTTCCACGACTTTTTAAAGTAAGTACTGAAATATTGGATTTTTATAATATAAATATTGAAAAATTTACTGAAGTCTGAATTATAATCTTAATTTGATGATATTTAGAAAATAAATTGAGTTTAAATAATGTAAAATTATTTTCTCATCACCATCAAATTATTAACATCTATCCAAAAACTATTTTTAGTCTGATTTATTGATTTGATAGAATCTTCACAGCGGCTGTCTACTTGACACAACCTCATTATAACTAAGAGAAAAATTTTAATTATCTTTTAGTTTTCAAATATTTATTATTAAAAAAAAATAAAAAATGAACATATATTATATACTTTAACAAAAATACCATATGCTTCTTAATAGCTGGCCTATTTAGCTCAGCCGTGAAAACGTGCCTCTGTACGTATATACCAAGGTTTAATTCTCCCTTTCCCGAAAAATTATTCATATATTTTATACATATTATCTTATTTCTTTCTTTTTTTTTGAGGATAACTCTCATTTATATTTTTGTACCAGAAGTCTATCACCTTTCAACACTCTGTTGTAATATATATGCTTTAAATTTAATATAAAACTTAAAAAAAATATGACGAAAAAGAATACAATAGTTGCTGCTTATTATAATCATGGTTAATGCTATCAAAAAATGTAAGTAATGGGACTATTGTAAAACTAATTATGTACTATTTGTAAATGTGTTAAAAATGTTATCAATCGGGCTAAAAATTATATGCATTTATAAATTTTGTTTGAGACTTTTTATAAGATCCCAAGTTTGACCATCGTTGTCATATAATTATGTAGTAACTTAGAAATATTTTTCGTTTGGAGGAGGGTAAATCATCCCAAAATGCTATAACTTTGGTAAAGACACATTACTAAGTGTTCAAGTAAATTAATAACACATCAGTAGATACACATTATAAGTAATCTAAAACATATAGTTCAGTGAAAATATAACACAGAACCAAAATATTTAGTAACAACTTTCAATAAACTTGAGGTTATTATTATATCAATTTTAACATGTTCTTTCAAATACTTTTAATGTTATTAAGTCACATAAAATTGAATTTATCAAAGTAATATTTCAGAAAAAAATAGAATTAGTTTAAAATAACTACTCTTAGGAAGAACACAGTAGATTTTTCAAATATATTACTATCTATTATAGATTCTCATTATCAACTTTATAGAAAATAGAACATTTGTCAATTTTTTAATTTAATTATTTCAGAAATAATTTTTATACTTTAAAATTTTTCTAATTTGATCCTTTCAATTAATTCTATTTGCTTCAATTAGCCTTTTATATTGTCACGCCTATTTTTCAATTGAAGAAATTTTTTACAACACAAAATTATTTAATGAATTTTTCTTTGGTCATTTGGATATTTTAGTAATAACTTAAATTTAAGTAAGCTCAACCAGTAGAATGGCATAGCTCCCTCTAGCCTCTTATAGTAAACATTTTTATATTATTATTTTATAATTATTATTATTTTGTTATTAATGAATAATAGTCATGAAGAATTATATTTATTTATTTACAGATTTGTTGAAGAACATTACTTATTATATTTTACAAATGATGATTATGAATCAACAATTAGTTTAAATAAAATTTAGACTTGTTTAAAAAAATAATATTTTCATAATTTTTGTATATGTATTAAGATGTTTACATAAGGTTATTTAAGTACTTGTATTGCAGCGACATGACCAATAAATAATAAAATTAATTTAGATTGTTGTATTATATGTATACTTAAGTGTAAATAAATCAATAATTTTTAATTCAAAATATGTTATGATTGTTTAAATCAATTTTTTAGTGTCTGTTACTTCTAAATTATACATTATATTGAGAGCACTATAATAGTACCTGAATCATAGAAAATATTTATAAATATATTTCTTTTAGAGTAGAATGGAATTATAACTCTGCAAACTCGAGTATTCAAATTTTTAAAAGTATCATTTTTATAATTTTAATATTTTTATCCAAACAATATTATTAAAAGTTTTAAAAAAACGGTAGCACAATGGGGTCGTGGCACATTGTGGACGAGGCATATATGGGACAAGTATAGATGATATCTGACAGTGATTAAAATCACTATAATTAGAATCGCTTCGATGCAAATCGGTAGAATGTGTTTAATTTTAAGAGATTGGTAGATTATTTCAAAAGCAATCATAACTGTAATAATTGTATAATTTGTTACTTCTATGACAAAGTATATCAAAATTATAAATATGGATTATCAAATAAAAGATTGTTAGCTTAATATACTTATTGAATTGATATTAAAAGTAGCAAAATAATTGAGGTCAACACTTAATTTATTCTATTATTAATTTTAATTTTTGTAAAAAAGAGGAAATAAATGGAGTACTTACTCCTCTCCTACATTATTATACTATTTAACCTAAAATATAGCCATAAATAATTGAAAAAAAAAATT